TCCAGCCTGCAAGGGGCTATAGCAGGGGTGGGCAAAGTGCGGCCCGTGGGCCATATGCAGCCTGCCAGGCCATTCTATCTGGCCCGTGGGGTCCCTAAAATTTTAGAAAATTAATACTTATCTGCCCCTGGCTGCCTGCCATGCGGCCCTCGATGGCTTGCCAAAACTTAGTAAGCGGCCCTCCACCCAAAATAATTGCCCATCCCTGGGCTAGAGGGAGCAGGAGGGCAATCAGGCAGGGGGTGCCACATGCATGCACACACACACACATGCACACAGCAGCATGGAGAGAGCTTCCACAGCTCCAGCAGGTAAGTTGGGGGGCAGGGGGTGAAAGCCCCCATAGTGAGGGAAGGAGCTGGGCAGGGCTGGGAGCACTGCCCAGCTGGGGCAGTATGTGGACCATGGGGCTTGGAGCCCTGGGCCAGAATGCATGGCCGCACGGCCCAGGTGGGGAGTGGGACGAAGCCATGAATGGCTCATTTGGGGGACAGTGGGGAGACTGGCTCCCTGCTGCTGTGTGCATTCCTGGGGATGGGCATGTGCCCCCCAAATTTGTGTGCAGGGTGGGGGCAGGTACAGGCTGCCCTCTGCAGGCTCAGGGCTCCATGCCCTGCTGTTCTCCACCTGGGGCCTCAGCATTCTGGCAGGCCAGACCCAGTGTGGTAGGGTAGGGAAGCTTGGTGCTGCTACTGGTAGCCCCACATTGCCAAGGTGAGGTACCCCCTGCCCAACAGGCAGCAGTGGAGGTGGTGGGATAGAGTTGTGCTCCCTGTGGAGGGAAGGGGAGCTGGGCTCTGTGCTCTGCTCAGGTTACAGCAGCTGCTGCCTCCCACAGGTGGCAGCTGGGACTTGGGCACTACTGGAAGGGCCAGAGGGTTGTGGCCCTGGGTCCCTGCCCCTGTAGCTCTGGCAGCTAGGGTCCCCCTTCAGCAAGGCTGGGGGGGGAAGAAGGGAGGGGACGTGGGGAATGAGGGGCACCAGCAGGGCGGCGGGATGCTGTGAAGAGCAACAGCATGGGTACAGCACTAGTATATCAGAGCTGCTCAGCGCCA